AATTTTATTCTATAAAATATAATAAATAGAGTTAATCGTGCTAAATTTTGTGTTTATACCTCCGTTCAAACAATTTCTATTATTTTTTTTTTTGGAAAAATTTCATTACACTTTTGTATATCTTTTTAGGAGGTTTCGTTCTAATAACGAAAAAGTCATATTTTATAACCTACAGTACGAAATAATTAGGCCAATTTATGCGGAAACTTATCTTGAAATTAAAAGAGAATAAAAAAATAAACAAGAAATTAATTAAACGCATTATAAAGATCCTATTTGAATACAATATATATATATATATATATATTTTTTTTAAGAAACATTTTCGAATAAAATTAACTCAATTTGAGATAATTAAAGGTTTTGCTGATTTTTTTAAATTAAAGTTGGCCCAATTGAATTATAAAATCAAGTAAAAAAACTTTTGACCCGTCTTTTATATGTACTGTACGTAATATACCCCTTTACTATCCCCTCGCACCTTCTCAACGAGTCTTTTATCGTACGCTATTGGAACGTGCAAGATATTACGTATAATAAGTAATGCCTTCCTATACTTCAAACGCGAAATCTAATAAAAATTCTAAGCTACCTAGAAAGAAACTTTCTTACATAGCTTTAATAAAAGCTAAAGGAAGATGTGAATGTGTCCTATGTGTAGTTAGTGTGTTGGATGATAGTGGTGGTAGCTTGCAACTTGAAAAACTAGTTATCCTTTAACACAAGATATAAGAAGAAGATACTTATTGTATTTTTTGGGCTGACTACAGTTACTCCAGCATGAGAAAAATATAGTCTATTGAAATTTTAAAAGGTTTTACTCTTCAGTAAACACGAAGTGTCAGTACACATTTGAGATCTCGCACGAGAGTTTCTTCTTAAAAAATATAAAAAAAATATTGTTCCTTTACTTCCCCACACGTGTGTTGTTTTTGTACGATTCTTTTTTATCCCTCTGATTTTTTTTTTTCTTTTTATTCGGGTTTAGTTTGCTTAAATATTTACGAGGCGCGATTTTATTTATTCTACCTCGCGCATTAAAAATAAATTCGCTTTTATATTTCGTTCAAACGTTCACGTTTGTTTTTAGTTATATTTTTGTAAATGCGAACATAATTGTATGTGAAAGGGGAAAAAAAAAACCAAATTATTTTATTGAAAGAGAAAGATTAAAATATTGAAGAAATAATATTATTTTTTCTTTTATTTGTGTGAAGGATAATTTAATTGTTATTTCTTTTTCGGCTCAGTTATTACCAATTACAATCTATCATTTTTTTTTTGTTTTTTTTTTTTTTTTTTTTTTTTTCATTTAAGTGTATTCGTATATTTCATTTAAGTGTATTCGTATATTTCATTTAATTCGCATATATTATATTTATTCGTGCAATACTTAAGAAACAAAACTTTTGAACGTATCGTTTGCCAAAAGATATTTCCCCACAGCCAAGTTTAAATTTTATCGAAAGTTTTGCTATTTGCTCGACGATAAAACGTGAAAATCTCGTACGAGTTCTTTCGCAAAGATTTGTCATTGGAAAATTCGCATTTGGGATCGAAAATACGCTTCGTGGAGTATGCAGAATAGAGAAAAGTACAAGCTACGTCAAAAGTAATATTTTTTCACGATTTTTTTTATAAAATCACGATATCACCAATTTTCGTTGTTGGGGGTCTAATTTAAATAATTTTTTTTCCGTAAAAATATAATCGGAAAAATAAAAAAAGAAAACCAAAAAATAATAATATTACGCTCGTGAAACCCTTTTTAAAAGTTACTCGAGGATAATCTTAAAAAAAAAAAAAAACTTTTGAGCCCGTTAAAAGTAAGTTTTGTGATAGCAGACTGTATAAAAGTCTCTTACCGTTGAAGAAACAAAGTAACTTATTTAATGTTACTTTTTATTCCACCATTACATGGTGATTCGATTATTGATTCGCATTTCTATTCAAATTTGTTGCACGGTAACCACAATGAGGTGGAGGGGTGGGAGGGGGGGGGTTGGGGGTACGAGAGTTTCAGAGCAATTAAGACGTTAAATTTCGATTCAACGCGTTTTATTCCTTCTTTTTTTCTTTTTTTAACTTTCTTTTACTTTTCTATTTGTGTATATCTCTCGTTTAACTTGTAACAGCGATCTCAAAGAAGGTTTTCTTCTTCTTAGTCTTTTTTATTCCGTCGAGGACGATAAAAGAGGAAAAAAAATCAAAAAGAGAAAATAAAGGAAATTTGTTCGGACGCAATAGTCTTCGACTCCATCTTGTTCTTCATGCATACAAACGCGTAAACTTTTCCTTTTTTCTTTTATAAACGCCTCAGGGTTTATACAGTTTCTTTAAAAAAAATCTCTCGAAGAAAATCGACTTGTAATATTTATATAAAAGATAAAGAACGGTTTTATATAAAATTTCTTCTTCCTTTCTTTCTTTTCTATTTATTTATTTATTTATTTATTTTTTCATTCCCCCCTCTTTCCTCCCTCTTGTTTTTAATAAAAGAACATTTCGTTTCAAACGTTGAAATATATTTTACATTTTATGATCGCTTTTAAAAATCCGACGTTTGGTACTAAAGTTACCGTTCTTGGGTATTGAGTTTGAAAGTTTTTAATAATATTATTATTATTATTATACTTTTTGTTGTTGTTGTTGTTTCGTCGAAGTTAAATTATAGGAAACTGTAGAATAATGTTTTTCTTTTTTTTTAAATTGACGAAAATGTTTAGAAAAAAAGTAGAACTGGAATAAACCTCGAGTTGATTATTTTTAATTACAATTAAACCCCTCCCCCTTCCCGCAAATTTGAGAATCGCGTAAATTAGTATAAATAACTTTTTTCTATTTATGCTAAAAAATCGATTGTACAAAGTTATATAATTGATATTATTGTGAATATATAATGTAGATATATATATATAATAGTAGATATTATTATATATATATATTATATAAATAAGATATATATTATATAGATATAGATTATATATATATATATTAGAGTAGATATATTATTTTACAAATAAATAATAGAGTAAATGTTTTGTAAATGTGAAAGCAAAAGATTTCTTCATTGAGAATAAGGTCGAGTCATGCTTCGCGTGAGACCACAGGATTACTACTACTAGCAGAATCACTATGACAAAAGATAAATCCCTTTCCATCTAAGCCTTTCATTCAAGAGAGGGTTCTTTATTAAAGTGGCAATAATTTCATTTCGACAACAATCATGCTAACGTTTCACGTATAGCGTGAGAAAACGCCTCTATCGATCCTCTCGGGTGTTTCAACAATGAACATGATTTTTTCTCTTTAAATGAAAACTATTATTTTTTATTTTTTTTTATATATAAACTATAACAACTTCCTTTTCGTTGTTTCCTTCTTTATATATTGTATATAAAGATTTTTCATTTTTTCATCAATTTGTCGCTAAAAAAAACTTTATATGTAATAATTTAAATTTTTGTTTTATTAATTTTACAAATATATAATAATAATAATAATAATGTTTTTGACATCTCATAATATGTCGAATAATTATTTAAAAAAAAAGATAATCAACACGTTATCTTTATAACTCATGAATATAAATTCAAATAAAATAAATACATAAATAAATTAATTTAACGATTATACCCCTCCTACTCTTGGAATAATAATTTTATTAAGGTTTTTTTCATAGAATTTTTGGAAAGTTAGGTTGAGTACTACTTTAGTGTACACATATCATGTTACGCAGAAAGGTCGATAACACCATAAGCTTCTTTGTACAAGATCAGATACTATTTCTCATCCTTCGTATATATAAACACACTTACGTATACACTCAAACCTATACATACACCATCCAAATTTATATATCCATCCATCCACAACATACACACACACACATACAATACAGGTCCCCGCATTATCTATCTCTTTTTCTTTTGCTGATCTAATTTCACGTGGGTGGGAGGCAACTCGATAGTACTTCTAAATGTTTAATTTTCCCCGTTCCTGTTTTTAGTCCATTTCTTAAGACTGACTCTTAAGAAAAAGAAGAATGATGGTCGTTTTCCTTTAGTTTGAACCATCCTTTACGTATGTATGTAACTTTCGTAGTAGTACGCTACTCTCGAAGCACTACATGCATTACGTATGTGTTTTCCAAAAGTACCCTAAGGGTATATATCTATGCACCCATTACTTTGAGTATACTTTACTCACGTGCCGAAAATATACCAGTTAAATCCTTTATTTTTTTTTCTTTCTTTTATTTATTATAATATATAAATTCGAAAGAGAGATAAAAGTATAATTTATTAAACAATTAATTCTCATTTAATTGTAAGAATATATTTTACAATGTTTCTTTTTCCTTTGCTTTTTAAGAAACAACATTGCTGATTAATTTGATGCTCGTTAATTTATTGTAAAAATATTTTTTCTTTTTTTTTCTTAGAACATGAACGATTAATTTTTGACAAGTCTAAAAATTATGATATAATATGTATATTAATTTTTATATTATTTAATACTTTTTTTTTTCTTTTTTATGCACGAAATACTATTGGATTTTTATAACAGTTTAGAAAAGTTTGGTCTATTAATATTATAATAATACTTTGTCTATTTGTTTAAATATTTAAACAATAACAAAAATATATATTATTTACTTACATATTAATATATATATATATGTTATTAAAGTATTTTAATGACCCAAAGAGAGTGAAATAATAAACGGAAAAAGAAACAAACAATTAATTTAACCAATTAATGAACAAAATTTATATTAACTGAATTGTTTCTTTCAACTTACCAGCGGCCATTTCTTCAAACGATCCCTCGTCGTATTACTTTTTTCTATTCGAATAGACTTCCTTTTCCCCCAGACACACACACAGAAAGAGAGTCTACTTCTGTTTTTGTCCTTTCTGACACCTTTTTGTGTCCACTTGTCCAAGATGCTTTGCTCCTAATTGGCTGGTACCTTACTTGACAAATGGATAGGTGGTTGGTGGGGGGTGGTTAGAACGTTTAAACGAATGAAACGTGAGACTCGTCGATCGATTAGTTCTCGTGAAATAAAGTACCATTCTTTTGATGTTCTCTATAAAGTTCTGACTTTGTGTAACTTTTTCCTTGATCCTTCGTATCGTCCCTTCGATCTTTGAACTTTTGCCACTCGTTGTTCGGCTTTTTTAATGCCGCACGTCCCTTTCTTTGCTCATCAACTTTTTCTTTCTCTTTTCTTCCTTTTTTTTTTATTTTTTTTTTTTTTTATTTTCCCCTCCTTTAACGTTGTCTAAAGTTAAGAAGGACAATTGTAAACTTTAATTAGTTCCTATCTCGTTTCATATTTTCTAAAGTTATTTTTTCTTTTTTGTAGAATTAATTTTAATTTCGTTTTAAATGTTGTTTTTTCTTTTGGGGGTTTATTTCATTTAATCCTTTGATCGAAGCGTATTTTGTCAAAATTTTTATATAAATAATATCACAAACGTGTATCTCTTTCGCGGATCAATTAAAAATGATATTATGTTTAATTCGAAAAAAAAAAGAAAAGATATATTTATAACCTGTCCGACGCATGTTTTGACAGATTTCAGAATATTTTTTTTTTTATCGACAAATTTTTATTCTCATACAAAAATCAAAATTACTTGTTCGATTGTTATTTCATTTATTTTTGTTTATATTCCAACGTTGTATTGTTATGACAGATTTCCATATTTTTCTTTATTTTCTTCTTTCTCTCTCTCTCTTTTTTTTTTTTGTTTTTTTCATATTCTAACGGTGAACTTTTATTTTCAACTAAACGAAAAAAAACAAAAACCAACAAAAAATATTCGAATGAAAGTTTCTATTATTCCCGATAAGTTTTTTTTTTTTTTCTTTTTTTTTTTCTTTTTTTTTGTAAATGACTCGCTCGATTTAAATAAAAAAATACGACGAGAACACTTATTTTTCCTTTGGACTCTTGTTGTATTATTGTTGGGTGGTGGGTGGGTGGGGGGGGGGAGAGGCTATTCGTCAAGACGAAGTCGATTTTTACTGCACCAAGGAGAAAAATCGCGAAAGAAAACTACACACAAGTATTTTACGAAATAAAGAAATAAATGTCATATGACAATTCACTGGCAATTCCGGTTTACGCCAATGTGTAGAAAATAAGTCGTTTCCTTTGGCTCATCTCCTCTTTGGCTTTAGAATGATGTCACCAACTTACGTTTATCCTGGTTATTTCCCACCCCCTCCCCTCTTTAAAAAGAATATATGTACAATCAAATTTTTTTTTAAATCGATCAAAATTTGGATTATTGCGCTATCGGGAAAAGAAACAATCATAGAAATGAAAATATTATTATTTCAAATCAATCAATCCTCTTTAACCCACCAATTTCATTTTCTCGTATTCTTGAATTAACCAAAAATATTTCAATTGTCTTTTCTTTTTTAATATTTTTTTTTTTTAAATAATGTCAAACAAACATGTGATATTTATCAAAAATATAGATGCATATGCGTGTCGATTCAAAATTACATGACATTACAAGATTAATTATAATTAATAAATAATAATGTATAAAAAAATACAAATACATATGCATATTCTATAAAATGTAATCATTATTACAATAACATGGCGTTATAGAGGATTAACGTAATCTCAAATGATTTGAAAAAGCTTTTAATCTAATATAATTCAATTGAAAGTATATTAAGATAATTACAAGAATAATTTTTAGAAAATATTAGTAAATACAAATTGATTCTATCGAAATACGATATAGCGAATATATTTTTGTTTAATGTAAGATTTTACAATTTTTATATTATTATTGAAAGAAA